GCTCCCTCTGAGGGGGGGCTTTTGGCCACTCTGGTCACATCCCCAGCTAGTAGCCTCTTCCCCTAGTTGGATGTGTTTGGCAACCGGTCCCTTTTTCCTTCTCCCATCACATTCTAATTCTAGATACAGTATGGAATTGCAAATGAAGGATTCTGGTCCTCATTCAAAGAGTCGTCAGAACCGAGAAGCACCTTGAGGGCACCTGACTTGAGGGCACCTGACGGCTCCAGAGGTCACTGCCTTTACCTGGTCCAGGAAAACCCAAGAAAGCCTCATGGTTCTGCTGCAGGGCAGGGAGTTGCAGAGTCTTCTCTCTCTCTCTCTCTCTCTCTCTCTCTCTCTCTCTCTCTCTCTCTCTCTCTCTCTCTCTCTCTCTCTCTCTCTCTCTCTCTCTCTCTCTCTCTCTCTCTCTCTCTCTCTCTCTCTCTCTCTCACACACACACACACACGGTTTTGGGTTGAGATTCAAAAGGAACAGGAGGTCACAAACCCCATGTGGACGCTCAGGTCCTTTGGTTATGTGGCGACAAGTACAAAAAGCAGGGATTGTTACAGCCGATCATTCGGGGCAACCTACTGTAAGTAAGGAAGCTTGCTGGCCAGGAACACACACCAGACTCCTTGTTTAAGGGTCAGGATCGTCAACCTCCGGTGGAAGAGGAGGAAGAGGAGGAGGAAGGCGTGATGCTCTGAAAAGCCGTAGGCGCCAGCTTTTCTGGACTTTTTGCCAGCCAGGCCAACCTCGCAGGGCTGTCGTGAGAATGAAATAGGGGTCATTTGTGGGTAGGGCTCCCCCCACCCAGCCCCAGCGCCTTGAAAGACGATTGAGAGGAACCTGCCAGGCAGAAATGAAGGACTCAGCTGGGGACCCACCCAGCCCCCTTGAAAGACGAGTGAGAGGAACCTGCCAGGCAGAAATGAAGGACTCAGCTGGGGACCCCCTGCGAAAAACGGATCTGCTTTTTAGCCGGGAGGGGTGGGGAGCTCCGGGCCGGGCCTTTCCCTTTCTTTCAGGGCACTTTCACTTGCCCGGAAATGCGGAGGGGGCACCCCTTGTTCCTGGAAATACACAGGGGCGCCACCTGCTTACACGGGAGGAGGAGAGGGGAGTCCGCGGTGCACCCCAGCAGTCCACGTGTGCGTGCGGGGGGAACAGCGTTCTGCCTATCCTCAGAGGCGCCTCCCCTTTCCGGGAGCCAAGCTACGAGGCCAGGCCTTTCTTCGCTGGAGCCACAATTGCCAAGCACCAAGGCAGGAGAGAGCCATGCCTCCGAGCATGCACAGAGCGCTTTGCTGCCACTAGTCCCTCCCCCTCTGCGGTATCCGGGGCCAGAGGGTTGGAAAGCCCCCCCTCGCTCCGGAGGATCCCGGGCGGGGGAGGGGGCGCGGGAGGCAAGCGATGGAGCAGACCCCCGGTGGGACCTCCCGGGGG